TTGAAGAGAACTTATCGAATTTAAGAGTAATTTTTTCAAAACTAAATGGAAGTTACAAATGAGCATGTCAGGCATATTTTACTTTATGAGTTCAGTTAAATAATTATGAATAGGAAATTTAATCCTACATATGGGGATCAGACAATAAGTGTAACCCAGTGTGGTTTCAGAAATTACGATCCGGAAATTGCAGCCTAGAAGCCCTACCTTTTCCTGAAAGATCAGTGGAGAACGACGAAGACGTCCTATAAACCCTGGTAGAATAAAATTCCACCGTAGGTATTGAGAAATAACAAAGGATGAAGAAACGTATAGATTGAAAAAGAATTTTTTATCATGATTTTGAAAACTAAAAGACGTTTTGAAAAATCCGTTATTTAGAGATGAGATAGTAAATTACGTTTCCAGAGGAGAACACATTTTCGTTCCTTTCTCTCTTGTAGATAAGTCTGGTATTACAGTAAAGCAGCAACACTCCTCCGTTTCGCGTTCGCGTTGTTAATGTAAATTCCGAGTGTGTTATTTCCTTGCAGGTTGCAATAATTTGTTATTTATTTATTTATTACTTTTATTTTTAAAGTTTTTTTTGGTTTTTCCAGATAGTATTTTAAAAGTTTCAAGATTTCAGGGTCAGTTTACAGCTTAGGTCTATAACGGATATGGAGGAAAAACATGCAGATGTTAAAAACCTACGCAGATTTATGCATCCGTAAAGCTTCTCCCATGCCAAAGTCCATGGGACGCAGATAACAAAAAATTTTCAAGCCTCAAACATTCTTTGAACTGGGCCAACCAGCGGCCGAGCGGTAAAATCGCTGAACACTGGTAGTTCGGTCCGAGGTTCGAATCCCGCGAACGGGCTGGCTGCATGGGCGTTTTTCGTGGTTTTCCCCATGTGTAACGTGTATACGAGCCAGTTTCCCTTAGAAAGTCCTCCACGAAAAGGCATCCCTCCTCTTAGGCAGATAGCCCTAGTGTGCTTTGCCGTATTCTCAATACACTAACACTAACATTCTTTGAACTGAAACAAAATTCAGTTCTGAAACAAGGGAAAATGCACCGCTTATTTTTATTAAAAAGTAGTTTTTTAATGCAGTGATGTCGAAGAAAATCAGTTTTAGTTTTCTACAATAGGTTATTGATTTATTATAATTTTAGATTTATATATTAAATTTATTAATCACCCAGTCAGCATTCATTGTTTTTTCCACCTACTTCAAGTGGAAAAAATAGATAGAGCTACTGTTATATGCAGTGATAGACTGACGCTTTGTCAACAAAGCAACTTCTTACTATTACCCTTATTAATGCAAAATGTGGATAACATTGAATAATAAAAGAATACAGGTGATTAATTATTGCAAAACAGCACAGATATTTTTGTATTAAAATACAAAAACTAATTTTACTTCAACAAGCAGATGCAAAGTAAACAAGTAGGATTGCTCTACATTAAATACATAAAGGTTAAATAACTAACAAATTAACTATTAATGCCATATACAGAATAAGTAATTTGTTCGTCACATGCATCTTAATGTTATTTAAAAGTTCAGGCACTGTCGAAAAATAATTCATTATCCTTGTATATTAATTATCTTTAAAAATTATTTTTATTTAAATTGTTCTTAAAAATTAAAGCTTCTCATTAAAAATGCTTGCCTCATAATCTCGCATTCATTTAAATATAAAATCCTAATAACAAAATATGATGACCTTGAGATAATGTGATTAAGACTACTTCCATTTAGAATTTTTGACTGCAATTTGGAATATTGTTTACTTTATTGTTTATTATTGTTGTTGTTGTTGTTGTTGCCATTAACAGTTTTAGCTGATGCCTTTACTATAATACACTGCTAGCTATTAAAATTGAAAACCAGAAACTAAAGCAAACAGCAGAATGTTACTTATTTTATACATACAGTATATTAGGAGAAGATATGGTAAAATTTGTGGGTGGTCTAGGGTACACAGCGTGAAAGATTCAGTGCAAGGGCCTCTGGTAGGAGTAATGGCGGAAATCTAGAGTATCGAATCTAATTGAACTTTAATGACAGATTCAAGTGTTTCATCCCATATGGCTTCAACCCCATGCCAGAGTTCGTGAATCGTAGAGAATGGCGAGTAGTGCCATGTCATTCTCTCGGTAACCCATGACTAGATATTCTCAGTTGATGAGACATCTGGAGAAAATGCTGGCGAGAGCAACAATCGAACATCTTATCCATTGAGGAAAGTCATGACAGCACTAGCAACATTGATCACCTTTCAACATCTTGTTAAAAGGTGGCGCTACGCTGCTGTCAAAGATAGGAAAGGTCACGAACTTAACATGCCATTTATTTAACAGTGGCTATCCACATTACTGGCTATGCGAATAAGAGATAACCCCATACCACACTCCAGGTGCTGGGCCCATGTGGCAATGACGAATGTTCTCCTGTTTGACTCTACACACGGATAAGACATCAAAATGCTGTCTCTGAACCGGGATTCATCTGAAAAGATCTGATCCTCTTGTATCCAAAGTGGTCATTCGTCACAGTCTTGTAGGCGCGTCTCACTCTTCTGCAGCGTCAAAGAAGCTGCAACAATGTACGTCGTCCTAACAGTCCGTGGTGCTGCAGACACTGTCGCACTTGTCCATGCGAGCACGTTTCATCCTGCACACGAGCCAAGTTCCTGACGCAGGGTACATGACATATTTCTATGATCCCGCAGGGCCAAAGAGACAACATATCTGCCCTCTAGAGGGTTATTGTTCCGGGGTTGCTAAGAACTTGCATGACGTTCAGTATGGCTCTTCTAGACACAGATTCCATATACGCCTGACAGTCAAGAGATCCGGACCAACATGAGCCGCAATATCGTCGAACAATAAATCGCGTTTCCGATAGGCAAGGATCGGCGCTGTCGAATACCGACATTTCCTGGTAGGAGTTTCTCCTTATATGAGAAAAAAACACGAATTTTACACAAACGACCAACGCTTATATGCGATTTCCAAATGAGAAACCTAATATATAATCTTCCCTTTTATAATGTAGATAGCATTACCGATATTTGTTTTGTCCTTATCATAGGACTATCATTTGCAAATCTTAGCATGCCAATTTGACATTTGTTGCATGCCACTGTCATGGTGTAGAAATTTTATTAAGCGATCAAAATTTGAAATATTTAACCATAAACCTTTAATTTTTTAGAGGGTACATTTGTTAAATGCTGTTCTCTGACGGGGCTGAAAACTCCTTTGAAGTCCGTGTTAGAGGATTTTACCCCCTTCACTTGGTGATATGGACGGGATTAGATATCATCTGTGCATTTAATTATTTTCGTTTCACAGTCCTGCACTCAACATATCTTTCATTCCTAGAAATAAATATTTTGGTTTCTGTAATACCATAATGCTATATTTTATTAATATTTAATCAAAAACCAGGGGTATTTTCTATCTTATGTTCATGAGGTTCATTTTTCAATCTTAAGACTAATTTATTTCACCTTGTAATGTATTCGAATTTAATGTCATTAAAATGTATTATTCTCAAAACAGCCCTGACGGCGGACCAAAAGATCATGGGATAAATCTGATTTATTATCAGAACCTTTAAAATATTTAAATAGTGTAGTTAATGATCTGCTTAAGACGAACTGCAAGAATTCTAGGTTTACACGCTTTTTAAACTTATGACGGAAGATTCTTCTTCTTGAATGGGATGTGAAAATTTATAGCACTTTTATTTTAAACATATCATTGTATGATAAGGAATGCTTTTCTTGTCTTTAAAATCATTATTCAATTACTTTTTAATTTGCAAAAGCGGCAGTCGCACGTTTAAAGCTCAGCTGTATCGTTTCAATTAACACGTTAGAATGAAGAAATGATTACGGTGGGGGGCGGGAATGAAGATAGAAACACAAAATAAATATTACATTGACAAAAATATTCATCACGTTTTCTCACGCACTTCAAATTTTCTGTACTTGCTATCGTTGGTCATACGGTAAACATCCATGACATCACAACAATGCAGGTTGCGTTCATTGAAGTCAACTGGTATTGTATGTGTGGGAGTATAGATAAAAATAACCTGCCACGAAGGGAAGAAATCACATGTAGTTAAATCAGAATGATTGGGCAAGATATACCAGAAAAAATGTGGACAGAACTCGGCTACCTCTGGAAGGTGGTTTATCGTATGGCTAATGAGGAGCACCTACTGTCTTTCCACAAAACCTTCGAACAGAATGCGGACAATTGTCTGTTTTCCTAGAGATGAGTCACCCATTTTTCGTAGGGTATCTTGAAAAACATGTTTAGTTTATCATTTTGACGCACTTAATGAAGATCTGGCGACATACGTTTTTTAATTTTTCTTCAATTAAATACTCGTCATAACAAAGTTTTGTCAAAATTGCGATAAAGCTCTTACTTATAAAATAGCAAGTCTAATATATAAAACTTATTACTATAGCCACCAGCTTCTGTTAGCTGTACTGGCCAGAGTAGTTGTCATGACAGACAAATAACAAAACGTGTGCAGAATATGTAAAGAAAATTTGATCAATTTCAAGCTCTTTTCGCGTATTAGTAATTATTGTGCATGTCATATTTTTTTAAATGCAATATATGAAATCACGATGAATTATTTATCATAAGACATTTAAACATCTCAGCTCGAAGTGCTGCTGAACAGTTTTATGTAGAAAATATTTGCATAAATTATTGTGTATTATTTCCAATATATGTATCTGAATACTTGACATTTGTTAAAAGGAAAAAATGCTTTTTTGTTTATTTTTTTATTCCATTCATAACCCGTATTTTTAGAATTAATGAAAGCAAATATCGCAATCATTATATAAGAATCATACGTATGTGTGAGTTTAATTAACCATTTTAACAATGGACTATGCATGGAATAATAAAATCTTGTTTAGTTATTAATTAATAATTAATGTTATTTTACTCTAAAATGATTTTAATTTTTCAGGTATGAGTTAACAGAAACTGTATTGGGAAGCGGAACTACTTCTGAACTGACTATTCGCAGAGCTGATCGAAGAGATTCTGCTTTATATACCTGCATAGCTTCCAACGCTTTTGGTCAAGACGATACTAATATCCAGCTCATTATGCAAGGTACTTAGTAAACAAGAAGGAATACTGCATAAATGTCTAGCTGTGTAACAAATATAAGCAAAATAACGAATTAAGCTTTTGAGTTTCAAGATAATAATGTTTTTAACCAAGTTTAAATTTAAAATACTAGCAAATGTTTAACTAAATTCCGGTTACAGCAGAAAACATCGCAGCAAAAACATCTCAGACGAAAACGTAGCGCAGAAAACAACGCAAGGCGGAAACTTCATGGTACAAAACATCGTGGAAGAAAAGAAAGCAAATGGAAAACTTCGCAGTTCTAAAACATCGTCGTCGAAAATAAAGCGGTTCAAAATCTTCGCAGTTTAAAAACATCGTCGTCGAAAATACAGTGGTAAAAAATAAAGCACCTACAAATCATCGCATGACGATAACATCGCACGCATGCGTTTTCCAGGTTTTAAAAGTTATAAATGCATATTCGCATAAAGATTTGGAAGCGTAAGAAATGTTAACGGCATTTTAAGAATAAAGGAAACAAAAACAATATATAATTTTCACCAAAACAATATCAAATTAACAAACGTGAAAGAAAGTAATTTCATAATTAACTAAGCAGTTTTTATAGAGGTAACCTTATGCGGTTATTTATATTCCTTTTTCTAAACATTGTTAGGCTGTATTTTTCAAGAAAAATTATGAGTAAAACTTTATGAAAAATATTTATTTATTAATTAATTATGTTAATTTAAAATTCTATTAAGTGCTATAAGTTGCATTAATTTTCTGCTTATTTTCAGTTTTTAAATGCTTAAGTTTCCTGCTTACTTTTTCAGCAAAATTTTATTTCATTCAAAAGTATGAAATATAAAAGTCAAAATATCCCTCTTTCCTTCTTGCGCTACCAAACCATTATGCGAAAACGGATTTACAGCTTTTAAAACCTGAAAAACACATGTGTGCGATGTTATCGTCATGTGTTGAGTTGTAGGTACTTTATTTTTACCACGATATTTTAAACGATGATGTTTTAAATTGCTGATGAAAGATTTTTTAACCGCCTTATTTTCGACATCGATATTTTGTGCCACGATATTTTTTAGAACCGCGATATTTCCTCTCTGCTTTCTTTTCTCCCACGAAGTTTTGTACCACGACGTTTTCGCCTTGCGTTGTTTTCTCCACGACGCTTTCGTACGCGATCTTTTGAACAGACACCCTAAATTCCTATGAGGAAATGATAAATGCCCATTGAAATGTACAAATCGATTTGCATTTTGAATATTAAAACGTAATTTTTATTTTATGAGAAACAGTGAGTTAACAGTGAGCTTTCGACTGTGGAGTTAAACCAAACAGAATGTATGAGAAACAGTGCTAAAACTAGCATTAGATACTAACTTTACACTCTTTTACTTGCACGTTTTGGGATCAGCTATTTTAGCTGATGTATAATAAGTTGTACATTATTAAAAAAGCGATTTTAAAATTAACTACACATGAATTAAGATAAAAATGCTTTATCAAGACTAAGCAAATGGATTTGAATGAAAGAGAAAGTAGAGCTCTATGATGAATTAATTTTTATCTTTTCTTTCATCGATTACATTACTCTGTGCATATGCTCAAATTTAATCTATTTAAATCTAAATTAGCATTACCATATCAGTGAAAAAAGATTTAAATAAATGATTACCACAGCTATTGGATGTACATACTCTCATTAATTGTGGAATCTATACTGTATATAGAACTGTAGGCATTATAGTATTATATTTTATTATAATATCTACATTTGGCTTTGAATGTATGCTTCCAAGAGTTATCATTCATTGTTACAAAAATCAGATCACTTTTACGCTTTTGAAAAGCAAATTTGACGAAAGCGTTTTGTTTCAATGGTTTTCTTTTTTTTTCCCGGAAAATATTTCATTCAAAAAATTACATAGACTACAATATTCACATTGATACAATTTTTATAATTAAATGCTTAATGAAATATATAATTATACTTATCCCAGTCCGTGCTTAAGACAGAACTGATCACATCTAATTGTATTTTTATCCTAATCCGCTCACGGGATAGAAACATCGGGCAAGCAGAAAATAATCTCCTTAATTGTTACCTTTAATTGGAATGAAACTTTTTCTGTCTGTTTGTTGTTACTTCATTAACCACTTACTTTTCTCTTTGTTTTTCAGATAAATCGGTATAATTGAGTAAAAACAACAAGCATTTAAAAAATTATCACCCTTTATAAATATTATCTACCGAGGTAAAAATCATGCATTTTTCAAATGATAAGGGAGTAGCAAAAGGAATTTTACGTATGACAGTTATATTTGATATATAAAATTAATGTTTTGGTTGTTCAAGTTGTAAACAGAGGCTTTATTTTTTTTTACTTATTTATTTCTATTTCTTTTCTAGAACCACCTGATGCACCACAGGATGTGAAGGTTTTAGAATTTGGCAGTCGTACAGCCAAGATAGGCTGGTCAGCACCATACAGTGGAAATAGCCCTATATCACAATTTATTCTTCATTATAAAGAAGAGGCAGGTAATGCTCTAGATTGTTCCTGAAATAGATTCTGATCAGAACAAATGAGTTATAAAATACATTATTACATTAGAAACTTGGCAGAATTTTTTTGCATCATATCATAGATCAAGAAGTCAATATTTGTATTAATTTATTAATTTATAAGCGACTGTAATAAACTAATCATACCATCCTTAGGCATTTTAATTAACCTATAACTTAAAATGGACTTATTAATCATAAATGATTATTATTATAATATACTTAGAAATCATAAATTGTAATTCATATATGACTCATATGGACTGGAAACTTATAATGTTCTTTGTCCTACATGATTTTCTTGAAAATTACAAAATTCCTTGTAATTTAACACTTTTAATCATAAAACTACCTATATTCGCTAAATGAAATACATTGATTTGAACTGTGGACATGTATACACGTTGAAAAATATCCTATTTATCTATCCTTATATCATATAAATTTTACATAGATCTATGAACATTAAGAAGCATTTCTTGAACACTGAACACAGAGGATATTCAAGAATTTAAAAATTCTGAGACGTTTTACGCCCGTTAGTAAATATTTGCAATTTACACAACTATTAAATGAAAGCAGAAAGGAAAGCAGAACTTATTACTTTTACAGGGTAAATAATTATTCCTAATTTTTTAAAAATCCCCAAGCATAGTTTCTACATTGAATTTTTCTGTATCTAAAGCTAAATAATATTTAAGGTGTTTAAGGTGTAAAGAAAGCTTGCCCCATTAAAAACCTTAAATATTATATTTAAGGTGTCTAGTACAGTTATAAGTTTCATACAGAATTTACGATTTTTTTTCATAAACCATAAATCCAATCGATATTACCATTCCAATAACTCACGTTAAATCACTCAAGAATCAAACTGAAGTCAAGTATCATGAACAGCAGCATTAAATGCTGCCATTACGTTTTTCAGCGCTAAAAGTTTAATAGCATTTAAGTATAGTTTTGTGGATTTGATGAATAAGCGAAATCGAAACTGATCAGCCAGAGCATTTCATAAGTGAAATAAATGCTTATTTTGCTCTTAAAAGAAACAGCATATTTATTTTTACAGTTTCCATTCTTGTTTAAAACATGTTACTTATTTTTACATAAAAATATAACAAACTTTTAAGAAATAAAGCTTACACAACGCTTATCAACGAAAGCTAGAAGTAACTACGTTTTTAGCTCGACTCGTTGTTGCCACACGACGAATCTTAATAACTATTCAAAACATTACATCATGTTGCCACTTAGGAAATCTTAATAATTATATAGAAACATTAAGTTATGTTCCACTACATTACTCCCCCTCCAGTAACTATGTTACGATTTAAGAGATTCTAGTAGTGGAGTAATGCAGCGTAAGCTAACATTAGAATGAAAAATACTACATACAATAAATAAAGACAATTACAATTAAACATATTCAATAACAGAGGTTAGGAAAAATATTCAACATTGTTACTAAAACGTAAAGGACTTTTCATTAGTCGTCCAGTTCGTGAGACTCGAGTTCGTTCATCATTGTTCTCAGATTTTAACAAAGTCTGAGTCTTGGGCTGGGTATCAGAAGTTTCTGGTTCCAGCCTTTGCTCACTTGATGTTAAACAATAGGCTGGTTTCAGCCTGTCAATCGAAATGTTTACTTCCTTACCTTTGATTTGTAACAAGAAGTATTTTCCATTCTTTTAAATACTTTGAAAGGTCCTTCATAACTAGGTTCTAAGGGTTTCTTGACTCTATTAGTTCTTTGGAAAACATGAGTACACACATTTAGATCTTTATGGACAAAAACTTTAGGAATCATTTGCGCTGTACCGCTGAGGGCTTGAAAATATAATTTGTTTTTGCGATTTATGCAAAAATGTTTGAGGTGTTGTAGAAACTGTCGGTTTATCAAAAAATTCTCCAGAAAGTTTGATTGTTTTCCCGTAAACCATTTGTGGAATGGAATATCCAGAGTCTTCTTTTAAGGCTGTCCTAAGCCCTAGAAGAATTGTTGGAATGGATTCGAACCACTTAATGGAATCATGTGCCACTTAATGGAATATCATGACAGGTGGCTTGATAGCAGCTTTCGAAATTCGATGAAATCTCTCAATTTTGCCGTTACACTGCGGATGATAGGAAGTTGTGCGTTGAATTTTGACTCCACATATAATTGCCAAGGGTCGAAATAGTTCAGAAGTAAACTGTGCTCCACGATCCGTAATAACTTGGTAAGGAACTCCAAAACGAGTTTCATCCAGTTTCATCCAGTTTTCATAAAACGCTCTGGCAACGGTTTCTGCTGTTATGTCACGCAAAAGAATGGCTTCCATCCAACCAGTATAGCGATCAATGCAAGTCAAGCAATACACAAAATTATCAGATGGTGAATAAGGACCTATCAAGTCTATGTGAACTAGAGTAAAACGTTCATCAGACTGCTGTTAAGTTCCTAATTCAGACTTTTGTATGACGTGAAACCTTATTTTTTTGACAACCAATACAGGCACGACACCATGTTTGTATATCCTTTTTGATATTTGGCCAAATAAATTTGGACGTCATTTCTTCGACTTGTCAACGGTCGACTTGATTCCTGGATGAGCGAGGCCATGGATTTGTTGAAATATATCCATTCTAAACTTGCTTGGGTATAAATGGTCTAATGTTAGAAGAAGACGTATCACACCACAGATGTTTACCAGATGGAAGTAAATAACTTTTGAAATTTAATGTTTTATTTTGAGCTTGTAAATCTTGTAATTCTTTATCATTAACTTGTTTGTCAGCAATTTGATTATAATCAATGAGTGAAATAGAGACATCGGCTATTCTTGATAACTGATCTGCAACAATGTTTTCACTTCCACTAATATGGCATATGTTAGTAGAAAATTGAGATATGTATTGTAATTGGCGCATTTGTCTTGGTGATGCCTTTTCGCTCTTTTGTCTGAAAGCATAAACTAGTGGTTTATGATCCGTAAAAATTTTGAAATTGCGACCTTCTAACATATGTTTAAAATGTTTAATTGCAAGATATATTCCTAATGACTCGCGGTCATAAGTACTGTAATTTTTCTGAGTGCTATTTAATTTTTTTGAATAAAACGCTAAAGGTTTCCATGCTCTATTTTCAAACTGTTAGAGAACTGCATCAATAGCCCAATCAGATTCATCCGTCCATAGTGACAAGGGCAAATCTGAATTGGGATAACTTAAAAGAGCTACGTTTGCCAAATCCTGTTTACATTTTTCAAAGTTAGATATAGCTTCATCTGACCATTTAATTTTTCTTCTATCTTTTTTCTTAGCACACTTTAGGTATTCATGAAGTATTGCTTGTGTCTTAGCAGCATCTTTCAGAAACGGTCGATAAAAATTAGCATCCCTAAGAAAGTTCGCAAATCATAGTCTCTGGTAATTTATAATTCAATATTGCTTCGACTTTTTCAGGTAGAGGACGAGATACTTTCGGTGTTATAAGATATCCTAAAAATTCTAAGTTAAGTTATCAACACCCATGATCGACTTGGAAATGTTGATTCTCAAACCGTAGTTATCTAATCTATCGAAAACAAGTTCAAGTGATGTCTGTGTTTTTCTTCTGAGGCAGACTCAATTAATATGTCATCGAGATATGGAAAAGTAACGTCCAAACCTTGAAATACTTCATGTATGAATCTTTGAAAAGTAGCTGGTGAATTTCGCAAACCGAAGCTCATTACATTAAATTCATAGAGGCCAAATGGCGTAATTATATCGGTTTTCTGCTTGTCGTCTTCGGCTATAGGAATTTGGAAATAGGCTTTGAAAAGATCAATTTTGGAAAAATTTGTTTTGCCTTTTAAAATGTGGTTAAAATCATTAATCCTAGGGATAGGGTATCTGTCAGGAATAGTTATAGCATTAAGTCTTCGATAGTCTCCACAGGAACGAAAATTTCCATCTCTTTTAGACGCTAAGTGGAGAGGACTAGCCCATGGAGATGTAGACCGTCTTATTATATTGTTTTCCAACATATACTGAAATTCTTGTTTGGCAATCTGTAACTTTTTACTGTCTAGCTGTCTTGGCTTGGAATACACCGGGTGACCTTCAGTTAAAATGTGATGCTTAACATTGGTTATCAAAAGATTAGGTTTTGTAATATTCGGATACTTGGATAACAGATCATGATATTTTAACTTATCATGTACTAAACTTACATCAGTCATTTTGGAGATGGATGTAATGTCACATTGAGTAGTAAGGTTAGTTACACCATCGATTAATCTTTTGTTGTCTAAATCAATTAATAACTTAAAATGGTCCAAAAAGTCTGCTCCGATTATGCCTTTATTAATTTTGGCAATAATGAATGGCCATCGAAAAGCTCGACGATGGCCAAGATCAACGTTAAAACTTTTACCCCATAAGTGGGAATTTCTGTGCCTTTGGCAGCATATAATTTGAAATCACTTTGAAGTTTATCTTTTTTTGTAGCAGGTAATAAAGAAGCATTTGCGCCGGAATCAATTAGAAAATGCAAACCCGTGTGTTTGTCAGTAACAAATATTCGGTGTTTGCGGCCATCCTGAACATAACCTGCAGCAAAATCAGCCGCTAATTCCGCTGTTGGTTTGAGTTTTCCGACTTCTTTTGACCCAAGAGCAATTAGGTTGACACTTTTCAGGAATGCATTTTGAGCCAAACATGTAATGGTAATAACAATACTTTCCATTTGGATTAAATCGTTTACGTTTATTACTTCTACGTCGCTCTCTGTATCTATCGCTACTACGATTCCGAGACCGAGATTGGCGAGAAACACTTAAAGTTTCCTATTTGTTTTTCCAGAGACGAAATTTTTAGCAGTAACTCATTAGTTTAAATTTTTGCCAGAGGAATAAATTTCAGGCTTTGAATTCATTTCCATTATTTTGTCAGCCATTAAAGCTATTTTGTCTAACCCTTCATCAGAAACCAGTAAAATATTTTTTATCGAGTCAGGCATTTTTTTACCTAGTTTTTGTATCAATGAAATGCAAGTGGTTTGATGTTTCAGCTGCTTGAGACATCTAAAAATTCCTGGGTGGCCTATACGATATCCTAGAATTACCTTTTGATTCATATGATGCTAAACTGACGGGAAATCCTATAAATTGATCAAATTGTGAAGAAACGAAATTTATACCTCACACATAAATCATTTAATTTCGAACAAAAAAATAGAATGTTTTTCCCTTTATTAATAGAGCATTAAATTTTATTTCCTCATTATCCTTCATCAGTGCACTTTTAGTTAAATACTTTCTGCATCATAAAAATTAGAAATAGCCAATCAATGTTTTATACTGAATTTGCAATCATTTTTAAAACATTAAATTATTTTGTTACAGACATTACTCTTCTTTTACTGTAATAAAGTAAATCAATATTTCAATTTTCAAATTACAATTTCTGATGATTTTTCTATACTGTTGGAGAAGAGATGTCAATTACTTCCCTCAGAATGCATTTAAATGTGTAGGAATTTTATTGAAACTGACATTAATTATCTTAGTTAAAAAAATTATTACTTTTGTTCGTAAAATTATATACATTTAAAACATTTTAGTCAAAGAAAGCACTTACTGAATCGCTTGACACTGAAAGTTCAGGCTTTATTTTATTTTTGTATTCATATAATGCCGTAAATTCGAATACAGACTATTTCTTCTAAAATACTGCAATTATTTTAACGCGACATGTGGTAGAAGAAAATTTTTACATTATTTGCGTTTATAAAAAGCAAAATTTTGAATTTCAAACAATAAAAAGCCCACCAGCAGCCGAGTGGTAAAGCCGCTAAACACCGGTAATTCGGTCCGAGGTTCGAATCCCGCGAATGGGTTGCTGCATGGGCGTTTTCGTGGTTTTCACCAAATGTAACGTGTATACGAGCCAGTTTCCCTTAGAAAGTCCTCTACGAAGGCATCCTCCCTTAGAAAGTCCTCTACGAAGGCATCCTTCCTTAGAAGTCCTCTACGAAGGCATCCTCCCTTAGAAAGTCCTCTACGAAGGCATCCTCCCTTAGGCAGATAGCCCTCGAGGCTTTGTTATAATCACACATACACATTCAAACAATAAAATACCATTAATATATAATAATAAATTTATACAAAAGCTTAAAATCTTCAGAAAGAGAATGGTAAGCTACAGAATTACGAGAGAATATTTATTGATATACACGTCTCTTTGTTTATCAGTAAACTGTCTTGGTGTGGTGTATTTATTTATGGCAAAGCACACTAGGGCTATCTGCCTAAGAGGAGGGATGCCTTTCGTGGAGGACTTTCTAAGGGAAACTGGCTCGTATACACGTTACACATGGGGAAAACCACGAAAACACCCATGCAGCCAGCCCGTTCGCGGGATTCGAACCTCGGACCGAACTACCAGTGTTCAGCGACTTTACCGCTCGGCCGCTGGTGGGCCTAAACTGTCTTGGAAAACGTATTATTTTGTGGTCAGCTTTTATTTTAAATATTGTATTCGATTGTTGTATCACTAAGTGATAAGCTGCGAAAACAATTTAATACGTAGTAATTTCGTATTTCATTTCAAAAGGAAAACAGTTATGGTACATTAAAAAATAATGCAAGTACGTGCAGTCAAAAATATTGACACGGGGGGGGGAGGAACACTGAAACACATCAGATCGCGTAACAAAATAGGGCTGCAAAAATTAATAAAGTAAATGATAAAACGTAATTATATAGCAGTTTTATTTTATTTATTCATTTGCAACGTTATGAAACGTACCTTTTTAATAAAAGAATTTTGTATGAGATATTGCTCTAATTTTATTAAATCAAATACATAAAAGCCATTTATCTGAACGATAAGCACTTGACAGAATAATGTTTTAATTCTTAGCATGTAAAAGAAATATTTTGAGCTTATTTTATTGCAGATTAAAATAAATTCTATCTTTATCTGCCCAGACTTTATCTCTCCTCCAACTGGAGTTCTTCCGAAAGCTCTTTTAAACTCCTTGATACTTAAAAATGAATGACTAATTTTTCTTTCTTCTGCATAAAATAAGTGTAGAATTTTGTTTCACTCGAAACATGCTAAGTAATAAAGACTAAAGAAGTTAAACTGACTTTAAATTCTAATGATTTGAGCATTTGTTAAATACGAAAAATAAGTCATATCTTGTAGATAAACTGTTCTCTCTTTATGCAGATAGATGGCAGCAGCGATCATGGAATGTAACTGTCCCAGGAACAGAATCTAGCGCTGTGGTGCGTGGATTACAACCAGTCACATTTTACCATTTTCGGCTCTATGCTGAAAATGCCTTGGGGAGAAGTGAACCTAGCAATGTAGTTCATCTTAGAATGGATCAAGAAGGTAAAGAATAATCATAACACTTTACCTAGAATAAAAAATTTGTGTGATGTAAGCTCACATAAGTAATGAATTTTATTGACGTATATGTACACGTCAGAATATACAGCTGTCAAAGTATTTGTCACAAAAACAACGGTTACATATATGTCAGAATGCTCTACTTTCTGAATAATTCCTTGTTCTGTAATAATTCAATCCGGCGATATATAATAATTCGATTCGGTGTAATCGAATTATTATCAATCATTCAATCTAATATGATATAAATCGATTCGATGTAAGTAATAATTCGATTCGGTGTAATCGAATTATTATCAATCATTCAATCTAATATGATATAAATCGATTCGATGTAAGTAATAATTCGATCTAGTGAGCATTTTATACAAAACAAGCTAATAAGAAATCTTAACGTGGTATATAGTGTAATCATAAATATCACCACCGAAATTATTTGAATAGCAATTTCATTAGTAAATGTTTAAAAGCTTATATTTCTAGCAGCATTATCATAGAATATAATTAAGATTTAAGATTTTAAAATACACCAGGCCCTACTTGACATAACTTCAATTAATCGTAATATGAAGAGTACAAATAAAAGATGCGAATTAATGAATTCAAATCCAGTCGTCTCCGTTTTTAAAACTAGATTTTTCATTCTTTCATTTCTAATGGAAAATACATATTTTTTGTTAAAAACCAATTATTCATGTTTATTGTATGTAATATCATTCATTCATCTTCGGAATCTTATCAGAGAAATGTCCAGTAGCTTCCCGAGAATTGGAAATTGCTGAATCCTGGTAGTTTGATTCGGATTCATATCCTGAAGAACGGTCTGGCTGCATAAACTCTTTTGTGTTTTCCCTCATGTGTAGTATAAATATGAGCTATTTCCTCTTAGAAAACCACCCACGAAGCCGTCGCTCCCTTCAAAAACGCAGCCCTTAAGTACTTTGCTGTAATCCAATTAAACTAAATCCATTCCTGTTCAGCAGCTAACGTTTAATTGTCTGTGTCCATTAATCAGTATATCAAATAAAAATTTCATTTACACGAAAAGGAGAACGGCAAATATTCGAACAAACTATAATGGTTGTTACAAAATATCGCACGTGTAAATTTTTGACATTCTGTGACGAAATATATAAGTATACAATAACAATCTAACTAGTCAAGCTGACAGGATGAATAAGGATTTCGGTAGCTCTGAAACTGATGATATCTGGTTTAGAAACTGATATTGAAATTTATTTTGTAAAAGATTTAATAGATGTTCTTTATAGATAAAGGCTGAAACAGTTTAAAGGAAGATCACTCATTTTTTTTTTTTTTTTTTAATATACTGTTGGTACGTAGAAATGTAAGTAAAATAAAATGGATGCTGTTGCTTTAAAATGTCAATAGATGTATTTTTCTTTCCTGCCGATGGTAGCTGCCAAGATTAACTGAAAGAAATCCATTCTCGCAAAAGTTGACCTATCACTCGTGAACCGTAATCAAAGCCAAAGAAACAGATAATATTACATAAATAAATAAAAAATAAATACGAAGAATTTTACGTCCGTATTTTTATTATATTGCAGATTATTGTACTAAATCATACATTTTTACCAGAAAAATACATTGATGGTCCTGAAGAGGTCCTATCTTATCCCTCGATGGTCGCCATTGTACTTTAAACGCATTTCAAAAAGTTGGCTTCTATCAGTTGAAGCCGTCGTATTTCACACTTGTCAATAATCATCATTTTATTACTAGCTCTGTTTTCCATTCACTAAAACATTTTCATGATGTATCTCATTGTGGCCAAATATTTTTCCCTATTGTTAAGACATCCCATTCAGCAACGAGACGAGGCAGAATCTCGAGCGATGATCCTCTCAGCTTCAGAACAAACAGTATTTTTATCGTCTGAGTAATAGCGCAATGGCAGGATCAACAAAATTCGTCTGATGATTTATCGTCAGGGGGTATATCACATAATTTATAATCATAACCAAAAGTAAATACAAGGTAGACCACATGTTGTTATTGATACGGCCCGACAAATCACTTGCTACGAGAATACCTTTCATTTTTTATACCTACATATAGCGGTATAAATGTTACTGCTTTAAAGTGAGTTTGATATCTCTTTGCTTTCTCTCCTTAGCGAATTGTAATCTAAGACTGAAATACAAATACAAAAGAGCTGAAATCCTCGTCCACCATATTAATTAGTAAATACTGATTTTTTACTGTAACCAAATATCGTTGGACTACATCAACAGATGGCACCACATGTGTCATAGTCTGGAAATTGATTCTCGCCTTTTCTTATCATTTACAATTTTTCATTATCGTAATTCCTAATAAACTATTTCAAATGTAATAAACTTCTAGCTACTTCAGAAGCTCGATACTTATGTCAAGCAAAACAATTATTTCGATTCAGACTTTCAGCTTCATAAAATACAGCTTCGGTTGCTTTTTCGTAGGTTTGTTGTTAAGGCATTAAATAGAATATTTCTTTCTTTGGAACCTAAAGCGCGTTTTTGGTTCGATCCGGGGGAGTTTAACGGGGTTTAAACGGATTATCTTATATTTAAAATTACGTAAAATATAATTTTATATTAGTTTCGTTTAACGTTAAAATTCCACTTACTTCAGAGAAATTTCACGTGGAATTCTTCTTTTTCAAGGAGCAAAATGCTTTTCTAATTATTTTGTCCATTTCGACAGATATATCTTAGGTAAATGAGACAGGAATATCTCAACTAATATCCATGTAACCATTTCGAACTTGAAACCAATGTTAATCGAAGACTGAATAGCGCTACATTTTAAATTTGAAACTAACGTATTTCGTCCCATTTCAGCCTCACTGTCTGAGGAGTTAACCCTCTAACCGCGGGTACAAGCTTCATAAAAGAGTTAAAAAAAAAAAAAAAAAAAAAAAAAAGAAAAGGAAATTCAAATACATTTTTAATATGAAGATGAGGAGGGGGGAAGACCGAAAAATTCCAAAATTTAGCGGTCATTTTAAAATGGTATGTTAACGTTTTCGCTGAGTTCGCGGTATAGCTCTCGCATTCACCCTGCTAATCCTTTTTTTTTTTTTTTTTCATTTAAATCTTTTCAGCTTTATTATTAAGCATAGTTTTCTTCGCATTTACACAACATACAGTTAAAAAAAAATAAATAAATAAAATTAAAAAAAAAATAAAGTTGCCTAGCAGAGCTGCTGCAAGAATTCCCGGTGCAGTGTTAACTGGTGGTGCATATTTTTGTATTTTTTCAGTCATTTCTCAGGTCATTATATCAATATTCACACAAAATGTTGTGTTTTTATTATAAACGTTTTAAGTGTAAATTTTATTTATTAAATATCGCGTTCTTTCCGCTTATGCCACATGAAATTGAATTCAGCTGCAAAATCGTAAAATATTTAAAAGTAGCAATCTTTAGAATTTTCAATAGATAGTCTCACGGCGCTGAAGATAACGTTCTACTCCGTACAGTGTCGTCCCTGTGGTCGTTTTCAGATCGTTGAGTTTGTTAATCAAAAATTCACATATTAAAAAAAATTCGAAATTCAAAATTTGGGCTTTTAGGTGCACATGTTCGGGTGGGAAACTATATTATTCAAAATTTGATGGCTGCAGGCACCGTCTTTTTTTCACAATGCGAGGAGCATACATATGTACATTCTGGGTAAAAGGTGAAAAGGCGTTGCTCACGGGTCCTGAATACAAACTAGCTCTCTTGAGAAAATCGTCCACGAAGGCTTCTCTATCCTTAAGCAGATAGCCTTTAGTATGCCATATTCCGGCTACAAACCTAAACAAATCTCTGTCGTATGTATGGATTAGCTCAAAAAATGTTTAACGATTCTAGTTTTGATAGATGGCGCCACGACCGATACGTTTCTGATACCAATTGTCTGTTAACTTGCTAGCAAAGTTCTAATGAAGCTTATGTGAAATAGAGCATTTTGTAAATAAATTTGAGTCGTCTTTATTTCAGGTTGAGCTTGGCGTTGAACTTACTGCGTTCGATGTTATCTTATCACTAAACATTGATTTGGTTGCATAGGTCGGATCCTCGGGCTTAATCAAATCATGAAAGACAAAGAAGCAAGCCTTAACGTTGGGCAAGATAGTGCTCTTGGCAACGTGCTTACCAAGATTTTTTACTCGTTATCTATGCTACTCCCACTTATGCAATTTCGTCAATTTTCAGCTCTACAGCTGATAAGAAATTGCAGTTTCCAAAATTAAAAATAGGAAATTTAATATTCTTCTTTTAAAATTGTGTGATATACAATAGAGAATTTCAGAGCACTCAAAATTTAATAACTATGAAAGAAATATAAACATTATTAATAACAGTACTTAGCCCTATCAGTAAACAAAGGTCAAGATTCTGTTCCTCACTTAAAAATTTGTCCTATTATCGGGAAATAAGCAAACTAAATATTAATAAATAATATATCTTAATATTACCATTCAGAGCGAAAATTATTTGTAGTAGATGTCAACAGAAAGAAATGAATTAATGAATGTGATCAAGTTCCTGACCAGCATTATTGAAAACCATGGCGCGTATTAAAATCTTTAACATGTTTAAAATAATCTTTAAAAATCTTTAAATTTAAAATTTAAAATCCTTCTAAATTGATTAATAAGAATAAAATTTATATGCGAAAACAAATGGCTAAAAGAGGAGGAAGAAAGCACATATGCTGCTGGGTAGTTTTCAATAAAAATGTCTACGTTTGCTCAAATATCATATTATACTTTCTGAAAAATCGAATGAAGCAACAAATTATTATTAATAATATTAAGAAAAACATTTAAGAAATTGAAAATGTTTTATTGACTATTTTACGACTTTGCGTTCTTTAAACTGCATTTTCTACGTTTGCATTTTTTCAATAAATCCTTTTAAAAAAGTCCTAAAACTTACACATAGACTAACATTTTTGCTGCTTTTTTATTATTATATATATTAGA